TCTAATGGTACCAAATTCATTCAATTTGGTCCACTACATACAGAGATATTTGCATTTTTTTAAACTGAATATTTTTTCTTCGTCTTTCGTCACCAGGTTCGAAGTTTACCACACTTCTGCTAGTATTTTAAATTTCTGATGATATAATACAAAATATAAATAAGAAGATCTTAACTAATTAAATATAAACATGTGTTCTCAAAATTATTCAATAAAATTAAATAATAATTTTGACTAATAATTAATGTTAAATTTCATTATACAACAATATGTGAAGAATAAACTTGTTTCAACTATAATAAAAAAGGTCATCTTGTCAAGAATTGCTGAAGTAACTCTAATAACAACAGTTAACAAAATTATTGCTTTACAGCCACACTATCTCAGTAGTGGGATAATCAATCATCTTGTTATCCAAATCTAGCTGGATCTTTTTTCACCCAAAACAAATTTTATAATTTATAAACAGATTAAATCATATGTAACCTAGTAAATCTCTTGCTATAACAGGAATATAAACAGAATTTATGACTAAAATAATGGAATTAAAATAATCTATAAAAAAAAGTGTAGAAAACATGAAATTAAGAGATATTAAATTCAATAAAGGAAATGTTAAGTGAAATGCTAAAATTATAAATCTCAGATCCAAGATAGCAAAATTAGAATACATTATTAAGAAAAGCAGACTCAAAATATTCTGTTTTGAAGAAAATTGTAACAAAACTATTACTAATATATAGGATAAATCTTCTACAGAAGAAATTTCATCCACATCATTAGAAAATAATTTTGATCATACTAACTTTACTGAAATTTTGAAGCAAATTTCAATATTGATCATGTTAGTTCCTCTAATGCTTCAGTATGAATGTGTAAATCAATACCAAATTTTGATATATATCAGAAAGAGACAAAATTTCAAGCTTTTAACTCATATTTGATTGTACTATCTATATGTGTAAAGCCTAAATTATCTAAAGGTAAAAAAATAAATAATTTTCTGGTTGAAAAATATAATGAACAGATTAGTAACAAAATTAGAGAAAAAAATCAAGAAAAGAAACTTCAACAAGAATCTATTATCCAGATCTTATCACATAATAGTACAGAATAAAGATGGCACGGCAACTGTTGCAACGTGATGATAAATAAAGCATCACCTAGTTGCAACTAGTTGCGGCTTATAAAATTTTGAAGTTGCAACGTGTTGCAACGGGTGACAAATAAGCGTCACATACTTGTTGCGCCATCTCTAGTACAGAAATCATTCTCTCAAAAAATGATCAAGATACAAATTTATCATGTAATACAAAAACTATTAGTTTAGGAAATGATCAAGTTGAATTTTAGAGTTAGAACAAAATGATGAGTGTGATAAAAATCAAATTGTAGAATGAGATTTAATAGAAAAATTATATTTATCTACTGAGAATCAAGATTTTATGATTATTAAATTGTTCTTCAGGCCTGATTCTGCAATAGATAATACTAGTTCTATTGAAATTAATATATATTAGAAAATAAAAATTCAGCTCAACATCTATCTTATTTATTTGAAACAGCAATCAAATCTCGTCAACAAGAAATCTTAAACTGATATTATTAGTTTATTGACTAACTAGATTTTGTATTGACCAAAAGATCCTTTATTTATATAAAATATTTTTATGATTAAGTTATTATAATATAAGATATGTTATATATATTTAGATAAATATGATATAGTGAATAATGTTAATATATCTGAGAACTCTGCTATCTCTACAATCTATATTTTATCACATGACTAAAATTAAGAAATTAAGGAATTAGGAATAATTCCGGGTCATAACAACATTAACCAAATCTCGACCTCCAATTTTGATCTTACCTGAAAATCCAAAAGAGAAACAAAAACATATTATTAAATTAGTACTGGAGTAGTTTCAAAATTTATCTTTAAAATATAGTACTGGGAATAAAAATTACTTTGATTGTTCAATGACCTGTTTTATATGCAATAAAGATCATAAAAAAGAAAATATAAAAAATTATATAGAGAGTAAATGGGATAGTAGTGATTATTGTGATAAAAAAAACTTATCACCTTAAATGTTGAGGAAATAAATATCAAAAATCAATTCAAATAGTAAGTATAAAGGTATAGGTGACTTCAATAATGCATATATAGATACAGAGTATCCTGCTTCACAGATGATAAATTATTTTTCGCAATCACATGGAAGTTGCTCTCTTGAGGCTTTATGTCACATGAATAAATTACAGCCAACAATAGGATTTATTGCAAAGTAATGATTCTTTGAGCCTACACTCAATTATTAACATGAAATAAATAACAAATAATAGTAATGTTTTTTTATTGCTGTACATCAGAATAATATGCAGATATTAACATCTGTGGATAAACTTTATTGACACTTCATGCTGAAATATTTGCGCGAATAAAAATTTCTGCATAGATCGCGATATGATATCACAATGTCACGTGACCACAAATAAGCTGAAGTGAAAGTTTGGCTAAAACATAATCTATATCATCCTGGGAAATACTAGATAAGGTTACTGCTGTAAAGCTCTGAATCCGCTTGATCCCAACTCACTGAACAAATCATAAATCTGAGCCAAGAAAAAAATCATGCGCGCGTTCCGTTTCGGAACTATGTAAGGGTATTTGGGTGAACGAACTTTACATTATTTATTAAAAAATAAATTGTGTATTGCAAGATTTGCCTCAAGGTTAAATAAAGCACAACATATATCAAAGTTCAAACACATAATAAAATAATGTATATCACGTTTGATTGTCAATTCGTATGAATTGTATTGCAATATTTTTTCGGATAAACAGCTTTTATTTGTTAATCTGCATTAATACTAAGAATAAATATATGTGATGATAATTAGTTAATGTTAGTGTGAATATTAAATCAGCTAATGTTTACGGAAAATCTATTCTATCATCTGCTAACTTAAATATACAGACTCACTCAAACAATTCATCGGGAATCTTTAATACATGACGAACTGTTGTTCCTTTAGATCGAAGTACAGATCGTTCAATCTCGCCCATTAGTTCTTGTTTTGTTATCTCATCCTAAAGAAAAGGTACCACTATCAAATGAGTATTTTTTTTGAAAAATAAAATATATGAACATAAATCATCAGATACATACATGAAAGATAGCCATCATTCTGAGAAGAGCTTTATATTGATTTCGACCATGGAAGCTGAAAGGGATTAAAGCTGTAGCAAGTTCCGAAGAAAGAAATCTTCCATCCGGGAGCATATTCAATGCATAGAGAGTCATTCGTGTACCTGAAGAAACAGGAAACATGAATATCAAAAAAAAAACAATTATACTATTACTTACCAATCACCTGAGTACAGAACACTTTGATTTTAGTGGCGAGTTTTATGTCACAATCAAAGTGATTTCGTAAAATTCAAAACATCCATTCGCATAGTTTTTTTTCGTATCACCAAGGGTATGTAAGTCTGTTGTTTTGCACGGTCCACCGGCCACTTCCATATGCCAAACTTCTTGTCCATCTGAATACCGAGTTGCCTTGGAATCTACTTTAACTATGCCTGAATTTGTTGCGGATTTTGTTATTTTTGCCGAAGATGCATGGCTTTCAATCCAATCGAAGTTAAGATTCAAAAACGTCCTCTCATAAAATTTTAAAATCGATGAGATTTGATATGTAATAAATTTCCGTTCGCCTATATTTCGGTCCATTGTAGAGTTTACATCAACAAGATTATAACTAAAAAAGAATCAATGGTCAATATTTATTTCTATTAACAACATCAGATACTAACATCTACCTACAAATCAAGAACTTTTTCGCAATACAACCGAAATGGTTCATTCGGAACTTCAACCTGAATTGCAGTTTTGAATTTTTTTCCAGTTTCTTTAAGAGAAGTATCAACGTATTTTTCCAGAGCATGCGACCACACAGCAGGATTGATGTCACGAATAGAGGATAGCTCAATGGCAAGCTCCTCGCCGATTTCTAAGGTCAACTCCGAAACAGATTTATCAAAAGCACATATAACAGAGATATCTGGAGGAATTTGCGAGTTAAGAGACTATTAGAATTTCTCCATTTGTTAAGTGATACACAGCGAGTAGGAAATGGGAAACTTACCGCCGAATTTCCTCTTTATTCCACGATCGCTTATTCGGAGTTGTTTTCAATGGAGTTAAATCCCGAGGAGCTTGCGGTGGGGTTCTAGGTTGTGGAGATTCCGTCGATTGCGAATGAGCAGTACTATTTACTCTCCTCATCTTCCTCTCTTCGTCTGAATTATCTTCAGCGTTGTTAACGCGTTTCATTGGTCGAGGCGATCTGCGGACTGAAGGTCCTCCCTGCAACATATTCGCAATTAAGAAAAATTTTGTAGCTTATAACTGATCGTGATTAAGACCTACCTTTTCTTTACCAACGTTTACCGATTCTTCAGCCCACTTATCAACTTCCGCGTTGGTAACTTTAGCGATACCTCCTTGATATTTCGTGACGCACTTTTGCTTATAAAGAGAAAACAGTGATTGTAATGAGCTCATTTTCTATAGTAAAAAAATAAGAATCCAACAAATATGCACTCACAAACTGAACTTCGCGACCGGTCTTTTGTTTGTTGATCGCTTCTTCATTTTTATAGAATCGAATGCGTTGTTTTTTCCACGTCTCAAAATGAAAAGATAGCATTAGTTATAAGACTCACACGAATTAGCTCGAAACGATTGGAGAGGAGTGGTTTAGGTCCAAGCAACCGCAGTCCCCAGACTTCCAAACTTGAGCGACCGCAGTCCTCAAGTTTGCCACCGATCAGGGTCATATGAGCGACCGCAGTCCTCATACGCCAGAAGTAAGCGACACGCAGTCCCTACTTCCTTTCAGATACTTAAGCCCTCTCCTAAACGAGAGGCTCTATCCTCCAATTCATAATATATAAAATAGTTTACTTACAACCCAAGTGTCTCTAATGTCCTTCAGAACACGCGTCGTATCTTCTTTAAAGAAATTTGATTCGAGTACTTCCTCCAAATCTTGGGTTATCACTTGATATACTTGCGAAAGTTTGCTATTTGACATTTCCTGCTGATAGTAGTCGAATATATTATCAGCAGTTATAGAATTAATCGCAGATACGACATCGGGCTGAGTGAGGAATCGGAAAAGTGGTCTTCTGGAGAAATGTTCCACTGAAAACGAAGAATTAGTAAAGTTGCGATGGATCAGACGAAAGACTTGTTCTACATACTTTTTTTATCGATGCAAGTAGAAAAAGAACAATTCGTGTAGAGAAGACTTGACAAAGTGGTGGCAACAAAAAATGTGCGGGCATGTGACTACCGAGGTTGTCGATACTATTTGGGTAGAGATTCGAGCGATTGATTAAATTTTTCAGATAATCGTTATGCATTATTTATCGGGCACATGATCAAGTGGAAGTCTGGAAAATTAGCACCTTGTGCTTGCTCCGCTAAATCATATGCACGATGTCACACATACCCGAAAATAGATCATGTAACGATTATCCCAGATATAGAACGACACATTATCAATCTTGATTGGTTGATTGTTGTAAATATGCAACTTACCGATTATCGACGATTACTTACATTCCCACGTTTTTTTCGCGAAAGTATACGCTATTCGTCCCGCCTTCTCGCAATTTTTGCTCGAAGCCAGATAATTATGTTATGTATACGGGATAACTATTTAAGAGATAACTAATATAATCTTTTTTCGAATATATGAGAAAAAAGGGACATCGGCTCTAGGAATAAATCCTAACGGCTCGTCGAATAGTGTCGCTTTTGTATTTCCCACCTATACACCGTAAACTTGGTAATTATGTCATCCAACAATAAGGGAAGAGAAGAAACGCCACATCGGATGTACCAGCTACGAAAAGGAAATTATCACGACGCCTCCGATATAATAAAAACAAGAAACTCAAGTGGGAACAAGAGCATGCTGAGGTATCTTACAAATCGGAAGACGTACCATCGTTCACTGACCATCTTGTCGATTCTGATATTATCTTCAATCCGCTAAGGGTATAATATTTTTTTATCTTCGAATTGGTTACCTTTGTACGAAATTTTAGTATAGTTCTGTTAGGTTGCATTTGTGTTGATAAGAAAAGATTTTACAAATTCAAACTAAAAATTTTATAATAAAAGATTTTTAATATAAGAAAATCTTGATATAAAAAATTTTTGTTGGATTCAATAACTTTTTTATATTAAAAATAACTTATAATAAATATTTTTTATTAAAATATAAAATATAAATTATATAATATTTCTGGATTTTTTAGATTTTATCTAATAAAGTTGTTTTATAATCTTTAATAAAAATAATAATAACCATATTTTTTTAATAAAAAATTATTCAAAAACTATAAAATTTGTAAATATATTCTTTAAAATATTAGAAACAAGCTTTTTTAATATTACAAAGCATATTAATATAATAATATTTTGTAAAATTTAATATTAAAAGTAATAAATTAAAATTTTTAATATTTAAATAAAAATAATAAAAATAAAAAATTATTAGAAATATTTTTAATAAGCAATTTGGAAAATAATTTATAAAAATATATTTGTAATTTTAAAAAAAAATTAGTTTATTTTTTATTTAATAAATATTATTCAAAAAAATATTATTTTTATAAATTTTTTAATAAACTTTAGTAAAAATTTTATTTTTAATATATTTACTATATTTTATTAAAAATTCATAATATTTATTAAATAAAAAGTTTTTTAAATTACAAATATATTTTTTATATTATAAATAGATTTTTATAAAAATTTTAACTTGTTGTTTTTAATATTAAATTTCATAAAAGAGAATATAATTTATTTTATATATAATATTTTTCATTTATAAGAGAATAAAGTTAAAGTTATAAATTCAAAAAAGTTTAAGATTGTATTTTTGATTCTTGTTACTATTAAATTTGGAGTTTTGTAATATTGTTACTGTTCTTATAGTGATAGGCAAACTATTAACTAATTATAATAATTAATTAAGAATTGTATAAGAACGATAATAGTGAATGTGTGTACTTGAGAGAGTTGGATACTAAATGGTTGGGAGAGAGTATTAAAAAGAAATAGATTCAGATACTTTCACTAGTTGAATAAGTATTTTATAAGTTTAAAAGTACGAATAATTTATTAAGATACAAAAAATGACTTCCACTAGTTGGGTAAGTCAAAGTTAAGTAAATAATAAATCAAAGATAACAATAAGTAAAAGATTAATTAG